GCCCCTTTGTCCTTTCTCTCCCTGTCCCCCCAGCTCGGGCACCTGGGTCGCTCGGTGCTTTTCCGTGTGCTTGGGATGTCAGCCGGCGGCCCTGGCGACTGGAGCCTCGGGAGGCGGCAGCTACCTCTCGGGTTTAGCATTACGTCATCCCTTCTAGACCCAAATTTATCTCGGCTGCGCGCAGACCCGCAGCTCTGAGCTGCCGCTGACTCCAGGAGAGCTTACGCATGAAGTTAGGCAAGGCTGACTCACTGGGCAGAGGCAAAGGTTTTCTGCTGCTCTTCACGTTTTGGGGCCCTGAGGGGGAGGTGGGAAGGAGAAGGAGGCTGCGGGTGTCGTTTTGGGGTGGAGGATGGAAAGATGTAGCACTGTGACGGTTCTCCTTTAGTAGGAGCTCAGGACTCACCCTTCTTCCTCCGTCTTCAGCCTTCAGTATTTGAAAACCCCCATCCTTAAAGATAATTGCAGAAAACAGTGCCCTGCGCCACAAGCATTTTGCACTTTCAGGGAAGTTCTCTCAAGCTCCAGGTGTTACCAATACAGTGACTTGGGGCTTGTAACTTAACCTCAGGGTCCCTTCCCCTGTTTCCATCTCTCCTGTCTGCAGCCTCCTCCATTGTTCGTGAATATGCAATAAGTCGTTTGGATAAAAAAAAAAAAAGTCGTTTGGAAATTTGCACTGGGTAAACTGTGACAGAAAGGACTTCTAAGAGTGGAGAGCTTTGCCTTCTGCCCCCCCCCGGGGGGGGGGATACGGCCCCCATCTGGGCTGTTTGTTATAGGCCTGGGGGATTTAGGGGGACTTTTCCCATCTTCCAATGAGGCTACCCTGAGAGAGATCCTTTAGGGAAAGGACTGCAGAGATTGCAGTCCAGAGATTGCAGGATTGCAGGTAAGATTCCAGGTTCTTTGGTCAGAAGACTTTGGAAGCCTTACTTTTCCTCAGTTTCCCCATCTGCATTTGTAGGGCAAACTGGATTCATTTGAACAAAAGAAAGGTCCATAGCTGCCTCTGGGTTCCTCCAGGCTGGGACTGATGCTGAGGGAAGGTGAAGCACATTACTTTGCCGAGGCTAGAGCCCCAAGCTTTGTACTGTGGAAAGCCGTTGTGGCCAGTGGGAGAGCAAGAACTCGAGGGGTCAACCAAAGCAGGGAGAAGGAAATGGCGCCTTTGGTTGACACTGCCCCACTGCCCTCCATCACCATCATCTCTGCTCTTCTTCAACAGATGCAGGTGGCCTTTTTAGTGACTCCTGCCCTACTTTCCATTTCCTCCTTTCCCTCTTGGCTATGGCTCTAAAATAAGGGCTGGTTAATTCATCTGGAGGTCAACTGTGAAAGGTCCTGAGCATCCAGCTTTCTCTTAATAACCTGCTAGGTCTTATGATCTATGAATTTAAACCCATGTGTATTTTAGTTGGTAGTTTTTTTTTTTTTTTTTTGATTGCATGTTGCATGGTTTATCTCCTATTGGGGAGACTTTTGTCATAAATCTACCTTTTTAAAATTCCTGGAGTAGCCCTTAGCAATTTGGGTTCTAAAGCTTAAGTTGTAGAAACTTTCAACCTTAATAATTTCTGCCTTCCACTAATAGATCTTGGTGAAGAGCTATTTTCTTTTAAATAATTCCATTCTTCCCTTTACCCAACATGTCCCTTGTCAAGAGTGGTTGTTATCAATACCCAACGGAAAAGCCCAGATCTGAAGTGACCTGGCCAACAGCAGAAAAGGTAAAATCCCTATTTCCAGGTTTTTACAAAAAAACAAAAACAAAAACAAAAACAAAAAAAACCCCTCTCCTGTGAATATCTATCATTGTGATATTGTGAACATTTGCCATTTTGGATTTCCCTGCATTCGATGGAACATCTATTTGGTTCTTAAATGTGGTGCCAAGTGTAATATTTAAAAGGACTGGCATAATTTTGCAGCTTTTGACCTCATTGGAAATCTTGTTCACTTTGAAAAAAAGAAAAAAGAAGAGTGCAAGAGAGAGGGCATTAAAATGCAGCATGAATCTCATGACATTTCTAAGAGTAAGATTTTCATTCTGAATGATATTTTCTACAGTAGCCACTGGAATGACCACAGGGAAGGGGAAATTCTCCCCTCACCAAGAGCTTCCTGTTGTTTTGGATGTCCACCAGCAGGTTAAAATAATCAGGGTGGGAAAAAGTTATGGATGTTTATACAATTCCCAGCTTGCTCCTAGAGCATTCAACAGTTATGACCCTCTTGCCCTTCCTCTCCCTAGACCAATGGTGCTCAACTGGGAGTGATTTGTGTTCCCCCGGCAGACATTTGGCAATGTTTGGAGACCTTTCTGGTTGGTAGTGTGCTACTGGCATCTAGTGGGTAGAGGCCAGGAATGCTGCTGAACATCTTACAAAGCACAAGTTGGCCCCCACCCCCCCACCCCCACTCCTGAATTATTTGCCCGAAATGTCAATAACGCAGAGGTTGAGAAACTCTGGTCTAGACTTTGAGGGCTTGTTAGACTGAGGACTTGGAAAGAGAATGGCAGAGAGGGTAGCCACTGGCAATCCTTTAATGTGGTCCCTGCTCTCTTTAGCCACTGCTTTCAGTTGCCTCTCTATGCAGGAGAGCAAGAGAGGAGATCGCCACCATCACTTCCATTAATTGAGTGTCATATATTAAGTGCTGGATTTTTTTTCATTTGATCTTCACAATAAGCCCTACTGACTATTATAGACTCCTTGAGAGAGTAGGGTCCGTGTCTGTTTTTCTCATTACGGTACACGTTATATCTAGTACTGTGCCTGGTACATGGCAGGCCCTCAATGTTTGGATAAATGGAGTAATCGTATCCATTTTATACATGAGGAAAACGAAGCCTGAAGAGTCCAGACAGGTAGTGTAAGTAGCAGAGTCAGGATTTGAACTGAACCCTCTGTGACTTCAGCACCAAATCACTTACCCACCGAATTCCTGCGCTTGCAACACGAGAGAGGATTTCTAGCTTCCAAAGTCCCTAGTGAGGGCCTGAAGCAAAAAGAAGTTTTAAAAAATACGACTTGAAAAACCCCACGAAAACCAGAACTACGTTATATGGAAACTAAGGTGGAAGAAGGACCTCATGGAAGCTTTCCCTGGCACTGATGAGATCATCTCTTGTTTCTGAACCGTGATCTTGGCTTTTCAAACGTTTTGTTGTGTGCACCAGCCGAACAGCACGTTTTGTGATGGGGAAACTAAGGCATGGAAGTTACACGAAAAAGTAGTAGTCGACAGAGGACTGGAACATGGCACTTCAGATAAAGAATGCTCCAGGTCCTGGGCACCAGCCAGGAGTCGCTGAAAAAAGTTTCCTCGGCACTCGCTCAAATTCTTCCCTCCCCGAGGTGAAGCTCAGATAACTTCTTAGTTTTTACACCCTGGCGACAGAAGCCGACGGGGACTACATTTCCCAGCCGCCATTGCGGAATTCGGCAGAGCGCAGGCGCACTGAGGTGGCGTGCGTACTACCACTCCCGGTGTGCTGTGGGAGGGGCGGGACTACATTTCCCAGGAGGCACAGGAAGGGGCGGGACGGGGCGGGCCTCGGTGCTGCGCCCGCCCCTCCCCCGTGCTCGCGCGGAGAGGTAAACAAACCGCGCGCGGGCTGCCGGCGGCGGCGGCGGCGGGCGGCGGGGGCGGCGGGCGCGGCGGGGGCGCGGCGGGGGCGGCGGAGAGCGCGCCGAGCCGCGGCGGGGCTGGCCCGCCCGCCCGCCGCACATGTCCCGGGGCGGCGCCGGCCTGTAGCCGCCTGCGGCGCCTCCTGTCGGTCAGGAGAGGGAGCGCGGAGAGGCCCCGGTCGCCACCAGCGGTGTCCATGGAGCGGGTGCGGATGATCAACGTGCAGCGCCTGCTTGAGGCGGCCGAGTTTTTGGAGCGCCGGGACCGAGGTAACGGCCGGGCGCCGCTGCCTCCGCCACCACCTGAGCCCGCGCAGTCCTCGTCGGCGCGAGGAGTGCGGTGCGCCGCGTGAGGGGAGGGAGGGTGCGTGTGTGAGCGGAGGGGTGTGGGTGTGAGGGGCAGGGTGCGTGCCTGAGGAGTGTGTGTGGAGGGCGCGTGTGAGGGGAGGCGCGCGTGCAAGGAGGCGTGTGTGAGGGGAGGGAGGGTGCGTGTGTGAGGAGCGGTGCGCGTGCGACAGGTGCGTGCGTGAGGAGGCGGGTGTGTGTGTGTGGGGTGCGGATGTGAGGAGGGGGTGTGGGGGGGGAGCGCGCGTGAGGCCGCGCGGGCCTGTGCGGGCGGGTTGGCGCGCGTGAGCCGGGAGGACTGGGAGGGGGGAGGGGGGAGGGGGGCCGAGCCCAGGGAAGGGGGTGTTAAGAGTGGGCGCCCCAGCCGGAGGACTTGGGAGGAAAGAGGGAAGAGAGAACTGAAGGCTCGGGGTGGCGGCGGCGCAGGTAGGGGTGAGCAGCCGAGGCCGGGAGCGGAGGGGGCAGTGCCTGCTGAGGAGCCCGCGGGGAGGAGGATGCACACCTCTGGGGAAGGGACCTCTGAGAAACGGAGGCTGGGGAGCGGAGAGTAGGAACTCTGGAAATTACGGTGTCAGGGGAGGAAATGTCGTCCGAGAGGAGGCAGTTGGATGGTTTGAAGTAGGTGAAAATGGGGACCTTAGCGGGAGACCTAGGATGGGGAGAGTAAGTAAAAGGGGGATTTTGAGGCCGGTGAAGTAATTGAGGTGGATGGTAGCTCGCCTCAGAAATCAGTGTATTTCAGTCAAGAATTCATGGAGAAAAGGGTTTTGGAGAGGATGGAGATATTTCTTAGAGGTTTAGAGGAAGTATCTGTACACCTTTCAGGTAATGGGGTTGGGTGTGTCTATAATGTCACAGGAGGACTGAGAATTTTATCTTCCAGCCAAAAAGTGGAAAAATACGACCTCCATTCTATCTGCTATTTTCTGCAACGTATTACTGCAATGACTTTAGATCAGTAGATCCACGGATTTGGGTATATTCCTGTTATCATGTCTTTTTTTCTTGCTATCTCTTTAGAGTGTGAACATGGCTATGCCTCAACGTTCCCCTCCATGCCGAGCCCCCGGCTGCAGCATTCAAAGCCCCCAAGGAGATTGAGCCGAGCACAGAAACACAGCACCGGGAGCAGCAACACCAGCACTGCCAACAGGTAGCAAGCTGGGGAGGTTTAGAAAAGGCTGCTGAGGGAGGGACCACACACACACACACACACACACGCAAAAGTGCAGGCGTTACTGACCTCAGTCCTCTAATATGGAGTCTGGAGCAACAATGAATAGCCAGCCGAGTTCCTTTACCACCATCCCTGGACATTTGGCCCTATTAAATTCATCAAGTCTAGATATCATAACCTGACTTTGTGTGGAAGGGAAGGCGTAGAATCCAGAAAGCAACCAAAGAGTTCTTGCTGGGGGTTATTAAGTGGGGAAGTCTGTGACTGGAGAGGGTCAGTACGTTGAGAGACTTGATAGCATGTGTCCATGCATGCAACCACATGCCAAAAGTAATTGAGCCAGCTTTAAATTTGGACAGTCCAAGAAGAATTTTTGAAAACCAGAAATAGCTCAGGCAGGATGTAAAGCAGAATCAAGGATTTTGTGTAAAGGAATAAAAATATTTAGTTAGAGTAGGAAGTTAGTGGGCATAATCTGTTTGTTTAAGGGTGAAAAGGAAGACCATGCTAGGAAAAGTTGTCTCTTATTTGATAAGATTGAGTTGGTAAAGGAGCTTTAAAAAAAAAACACACACACACACACACACAGAAAAAGAAAGAAGATACTTATTTTTTAGGCCAAAGAGATCCCTAGAAAATGGATATACTCAGGCATTGTTGAAAACTTCTATTTTTTGAGAACTTTTGGTAGTGTCTGGCTGTTTTTTCAGTATTTTATCCCAGGGGGCCAGAGAATTCTAAGGCTCCAACTTGTAGGAAGTTCTCAGAAGGCCATCTTAAAAATCAACAGATGCTGCTGATTTTTGCTTTTTCCATTGATAAGGAGGAATTCAATGAGGCCTTTTTCCTGATTCCCAAAGCTTTATTTAGAGAATGTGAGCATTTATTTTGGAGAGGCACAGAGCAATCTCTGGGTAACTAAGGTCACCTGAAGTGTTTGGGAAACTCCTGACAGGTCACTGGGGAGTCACTTGGGGAAACAGGTTGGGGAGAGAGTAGGACTAGGGGCTCTTACTAATATTTGCAGGAAATTTGAGGCTTCTACAGATAATAATTAGAGATCCAAAGGTTGGATCTTCCCACTCTGCATTTTTGACATTGCTGAGGCAAAACTAGGATTCACTCGTCCCTTTTTGACTAATCTTTAAAGCCATGTGTTTCTTTTTTTCTTTTGGTTTCTTTGTTAGGACTGTTCGTGTTTTTTAAATTTAGTTTTTAAAATTATAAAAATAGTTATAAGCTTAATATGCTGCATTTATGTTTATGTGTGGGTCTAGAGGATTTTTTATGGTATGATAGGTTTAGGATGAAACCTATCATCCTAGGATGAAAATATGTAATACAATCTGCAGTATTTAAAGAAGTAAGTATAAATTTTCTCGTTCTTCACAGTTTCTCTGGTTAAGGTGTCAGCAATTAGAGTCTATATCTCAAGAATTCATGGCTTTTTCAGTCCACATGTAGATTTAAAAAGACTTTTTTTTTTTTTTTTTTTTTTAATTTAGAGGCACGCAAAGATGGAAAACCACACCTGGGTTTTGTCACGCTACAAGTATTTACTGAGTCTTTCCTATTTTGTAGAAATCAGATAAATAATCTTACTACACTTTCTTTGTCCTTCATCTCATCTATAAAATGAAGGAATGGACTACATATTTACCAAGGTCCCTTCTTCCCCTGAAGTTCTATGAAACTGATTTATTGACAGTTTAAGAGATCAGTTACTGTATAGTTATGTACTATACCATTCCATCATTGCAGATGTGACATTGTTACTAACAATTCAAAGATTATAGAGGCATAAATAAGACGTATATTTCTAGATTTAACCAGTCATGTTACAGGTCATTAATAAGTCTTTGTCATCTTTTGACTTATACTCAACTCAGCTTGGGGATCTGACTGTGTGGCATTTCTGTTTCATGGTAGTATTCCTTTTAGGATTCTAGTATGGTGTGTGGAACCACAGTGCTAATTACTGTATGTTTTAGCACAGCATATCTGAAAATTTATAAAACTATAGGCATGCCATGTTGTTCTTACAGTACCCATGGGAAAATAATTATGTATATATTGGACCACCTAAGACTGAGGAAGATCATGTTTCACAGGAATAGAAATAATAAGAGGGAAATAAAAAGACAAAGAAATAGATTTTAGAAAATCTTAAGGTCCACTCATGTGTGGGATTTAGACTGGGGCCTATGTTAAACACTAGAAATTATTTTTCCTTACCATTTGTCTAAAACTTCTGCATCAGGGGATCCCTGGGTGGCTCAGCGGTTTAGTGCCTGCCTTTGGCCCAGGGCGTGATCCCGGAGAACCGGGATCGAGTCCCACGTCAGGCTTCCAGCATGGAGCCTGCTTCTCCCTCTGCCTGTGTCTTTGCCTCTCTCTCTCTCTCTCTCTCTCTCTCTCTCTCTCTCTCTCTCTCATAAATAAATAAATAAATCTTAAAAAAACAAAAAAACAAAACAAAAAAAAAAACTTCTGCATCATGGAATAAAGGAGCCAAGGATCAATTTCCAACGCTGGGGTATTTGGGAAACGGAGTTGTTAGTCCATTTGAAGGAGACCTTATGGACTTTTCTTAACTTTAAGCCTATTACTGGATTTAGTAGAAATTTTACTATATTGATTACATGAAGCAGAAAGAAAGAGTTGTAAAAATTTTCCATTTATTAGTCATCTGAAACAAGGAAAGGAATAGAATTATGAGCATATCTGTCTTATTTTCCTGATCTTATATAAAGCTCCGTGTGTGGAAGTTGCTGTTACTATTATGCATCTTGGACTTTGATATCTTGTTTGTCATAACATGACATTTGTTTCCCGGACATTGTAGCATCTTTCAAATATAGTGTTAGTGACTTTTTCCTCCTAATATTCTCAGGTATAATATGATCTTCCTGATAAAAAATGCTGTTTTATAAGCTTATGCTGAATGTTAACTCCTAATATTGAAGTCTTTTTTTTTTTTAAGTCTTATTTTCACAGAAGTACAAAGGAGAGAAAATAAGTGATGTAATGTGATATTACAAGCATGGACCTTGAAAATCCCAGTAATTTTATCATTTGGTATCCTTCTGACTGACAATTCAGAAGTGGGACCTATAGATAGTATGTAATTATTTTTTAAATACATGGTTGACTTTACTGTGGTCTTGGTCATGGCCTTCTGGCACATTTCCTAAAATCACCCTTCCTAAAATGTTGCTGCTATTAGAAAACCTGGCTGCAATTGCTATCTGGCTCATTGAGGAGCATCACATAAGCTCAGATTACCGGCTTTCTACTATTTGATCTCACAACTGAGAAATTTCAAGATCTGTCATCCTTAAAACTCTACTAATACTACTCTACTTGGCTTCATTGTAACTCAATTTTTTCTAAAATATCTTTTGAATCTGCCTTCTTTCCTTTATCTTTATTACTTACCCCCTAGTGAGATACTATCTCTCACCTGGAGAATGTTGTAACCTTCTACCTGGTATCCATGCAACTACTCCTACCCTATATACAATTCTAATGAATTATATTGGCAGGCTTTCTTTCAATTCCTTCAATACACCATGTATCCTATCTCAGGGTCTTTGCACGTACTCTGTTCTTTCCCCTTTTGCCAAGTTGTCTCTATCTAATAACTTTCTTATTTCAGTGCAATCATAATGTTTACACGGAAGCTTTTCCTCATCAGCCAAAGTAGAAAAGATGTTCACAGGATGGCAGCCCTACTTTTCCCTTCATGATATTTATCATAGTTGTAGAAATACAGTTCTCTGATCGATAAATTCACATCTCATTCATTGAACTGCAAACTCCAAGAAGGTAGAAATTGAATTTCTTCTGCTTAAGGATTTATCCCCAGTAACTATCACGATGTCTTGTACAGAGTAGGTGTTTCTTAAAAAATGGAAGGTTTCTAAACTCCATGTAGACTGCCCTCTGTTGGAACTTAGTTTTTCTTTTGTGCTGAGTACCATATTAAAGTCTGGAAGGAGAAATGATGCAACTCCTGCTTTGGCAAACTCTGATTACACTGTATTCATTCATTCATTCTTTCTTTCTTTCTTTCCTTCTTTCTTTCTTCTTTTTTTTTTTTTAAGATTTTATTTATTCATGAGAGACAGAGACAGAGGGTCAGAGACATAGGCAGAGAGAGAAGCAGGCTCCATGCAGGGAGCCTGATGTGGGACCGGATCCCAGGACTCCAGGATCATACCCTGGGCTGAAGGCAGATGCTTAACTGCTGAGCCACGCAGGTGTCCCTGATTACACTGTATTCTAAAGGATGTTATCAATAATATATTTGGAGAAAAAATTAATATGTAGTATTTGAAGTATAAACTCTACAACTGCCAATTCTTTTAAGTGTATATTCTAGTATACTATATAGTATATAAGTGTAGTCGACTACAGAATGTTGCAGTTAATTTTAAAGAACACTTATTGTCATCCTGTTATGAAAATAAAATATTAAAACGTGTATCTGCAAAAACCATAAGTCTGCCAAATATTGGCAATAAATGTTGGTATGAGCCTATGACACATGGTAATTCCATTGTTTTAAGGTGATGTAGAAAATAATAGTACCAATTCATGCTTGAATTTTAAGTCAATGAAAAATTTATTCTATTTAGTATCCTTTGGATATTAACAAATCTCACAATAGCAGCCATATTTCAATTCCACCTGTTAGGATTGAGGACATTAAAAAACAAAACACCTTTCCTTTTGCTTGTTAAGGCTTTAGTTTAACTGTTTTTAAACTGCAGAATCATGCCATATTTTAGTCTTAGATGAAATGATTATATTGCTATATTTTCAGCTTTAAAGCTTTTTTGGTTGTCTTCTATAAAGAATCAGTAGTTTTTTGGGGAAGTAGTGGTGAATTTTTTTTTTTAAGAATAGTTGTAGAACATTTTTTCCCAGTATAAGTAATTTGAAATTTGTTATATTTTCTGTTTTTATTTTGA